GGAGCAGTGCTGACTCTCAAGGTTGACCCTCTGTCTCCAGCCACCTGCAGGGCCCACTCAGCTAAGAAGACAAGAAAAAGCAGGTGATGACTCGCCTCAAAACCAAGCAGCAAAATAGCTTCCCTCGAGAGAAGCCACTCTTTTGTGTTTACTTTCAGGTTGATTCCTTTTTAAAAGGTATTTTTAATTAATGGGCAGTGGCACATAGATTATTCCCAGCGTTCACAGAATTACTATGGGACAGTTACGCTCCTAGCCTCTGGAGCTGGGCTGCGTTCAAGTTCCAGCTCAGTATAGCCGTGTGAATTTGGGCCAATTACTTCACCTTCTGTGCTTTTCTTTCCCATCTATAAAGCGGAGATACAAATGGTACCTGCTTATAGAGTCCTTGTGAGAATTAAATGAGCTGTCACACTCTGGCTAACAGAATCTATGGGGGTGAGAGAGGGATACACTTTTTTTCTGTTTCTTTTCCATTCTAACACTTTCAGTATCTCAGAACTGATATGAATTTTGTCTCGCGGCAAAGAGAGGATTGTATTTTTCAACCGGTGCCTTTCTCCAGCATGAGGGGACTACAGAAGGGCTCTGCAAAGGTGCCCAAGACCTTCCCCCCATTGCCCCCACACTGGCCACACTGCCAAAGGTGATCGCTAACAGGGTCACACAGGACAGCCAGTCATTGTAACTTAAGTTAAATGGGACGTGGGGACTTGCTCAGTAATTGAGTTCCCACCGCTCTGTGGGGGGGAGGGCGGCAGGTTAAGGGGAAAGACAAGAGGACGGAGCCTGATGCGCCTCCTGCAGGATGGAGAAGATTTGCTTTGGGAGCAGTGAGTAATGCTGACACTTGTCCACTTGCCGGGGACATGGAAACACGTTCTTTTACTCTTGACTGTCCACCCCTAATCTCAGTGCGATAAAAAGTGCCCCTCTGCTTAGAAATCTACGAGAGGCCCTGTAACGTCATTTCCCCTCACCTAAGATGCAGAAACAGCATGCTGCTTTCATGTCCTTCTAGCTTCAAAGTGGTTGTGGGACATCCTTTGGAAAGCCATCAGAGTGAAATTAGAAAATTTGCTGAGAGTCTTTAAAATTCCATTTGCACACCTGTGGCGGAAGGGAAGTTGACCCCCTCCCTGTTCTGAGAGGCAGTTTCCGTTTATTGTCAGAGAAGCTTTGAGATGCAGGCTCGGGAGGAACTGCTGAGCGCCCCAGTGCCCTGAGAGCTCCTCTCCCCACAGAGGAAGTGGAAACTCCCTGAAGCTTGGTTTCCACAAGCAGCTTTGTAAAGATGTCTCTGCTTTCCCAGTGACAGGCAGCACTTGCCAGGAGGCTGTTACGCAGCCCGAGCGGGCATCAAAGGCAGAGAAGCAGCGCTGTTTTATGTTGCCCAAAGGACCTTATTTGGTGGGGAGAAAAATGGGCCTGGAGTCAGAGCCATCCATCATGGCCAGATGGGCCAGAAATCTATCTCGCTGAAACCCCTACTTGGCCTTTGCTGTGAAGTGGCGGACTTTGTTCAGAATCTGTTCTCCTTGCTGGGTGAAACTGTGGTTGACACTGAGCTGAAAATCACTGCCTTGAGGCACATTTTGGAGAGAGCCTTCAAATTCTTGTGCTTCAGAAATGAAGTGCCTGGGTGAAGCAATGTGATACTGCACACACGTGTATATCCTGGAAAGGAGGACTGTGTAAAACATCGATCTTCTCTGGGGCTCATAACTCAAGAAATTCTAGAATACATGGCTTCAAGAGTCCTTCATTCCTCCTCTTCAACTCCATCCTATATAATAAAAGCCTAATATGCTAAGTGTCCAGTCGTCCATTCAACCAAAGTGTAATATGCTAATGATATGCTAAGGTCGCTCAACTGCTCGCTATGATGTGCACTGACCACCAGAGGGCAGACAGTTGACTGGTAGGTTAGTTTGCTGCTGGGGTCCAGCAGATCGGGACTGAGCGAGACAGGCTCAGGCTGGACATGCCTTGGAGCCCTCCTGCAGTCCCTCCCCAGTTGGCCAACCTCCTGCATCCCTCCTCGGCCCATATCATGCCCTGGTGGGATCCCTCATCCTGGCCTACACCCACTGGCAATCTGGGACCCCTTGGGGGATGTTGGAGAGCTGGTTTCGGTGCAATCCCACAGGCCAGGCTGAGGAACCCTGCTGGTGCACGAATTCATGCACCAGGCCTCTAGTTTTAAATAAAATTGTCTCATTCATTTTAGACACATATAAACGTCTTTTACTATTGAAGACTTTTGGGCAGAAATTCTCCAGGCTGTATTTTTTAAAAATATTTTTACTGATTTCAGAGAGGGAGAGAGAGATAGAAGCACCAATGATGAGAGAGAATCATTGATCGGCTGATTTCTTAAATTCCTGGTATTTGCCATTCTGAGATACAACAGGAAACATGACAAAATCCCTGTCTTCATGGAGTTTATATTAAGGGGACAGATAATAATCATGTGGACACTGCTGTATCCTGCAATGTCAGAAATGCCATGGAGGAGCATAAAGCAAGGCAAGGCGGTGGAGAATAGCAGGAGGTGCGCTTCACAGGTCGGCCAGGGTAGGGCTCTCTGGGGAAATGACTTTTGAGCAGAGACCTAAAAGGAGGGACCCAGCCAGGCTGACCCTCGGGGGGTAAAAACATTCCTGGCAGAGGGAACTGCAAGTGGAAAGGCCCAGAGGAAGACCTATTCCTGGGCAGCTCAGAGAGCATTAGGAGACCCATTGTAGCAAGATACCTGTTCTCAATAAAGGGTCTCAGCCTTGACTCCTTTTTTTACTTCATCCCCACACCTCATCTAACCTCATCTACTGAATCATGTCAACACTCTTCCAAAGTATATTGTGAACTCACCTACATCTTTGTCCGTGTCTCTCTCACCCAAGACCCTGCCATCTCTTCTTGCCTGGATTACTGTAAGAGTCTTCTCACTGACCTCCCATGAATTTCAATCACACTTCTCCTCTGCTCAAAATTCTTCCAGAGATTTCCACTGCCCTTTGAAAACAGTTGGACCTTCTGGCCATGGCTTTTAAGATGGTCTGTAATCGGGCCCCTGCCTGCCTCTCCAGCCCCATCTCCTGACAGCCAGGGCTTCAGCCACATGATCCATGTGTTCATCAGCTCGGGCTGCCGCACCAGAGTAATACAAACCTGACAATGAAAACAACTGAAACCTGTTTTCTCACAGTTCTGGAAGCTGGAAGTCTGAAATCAAGTCAATGTTGTGCTGGCAGATTGGTTCCTCCTGAAGGCCGTGAGGGAAGGTGTGTTCTAGGCCTCTCTCCTTGGCCTATGGATGGTCATGGTCTCCCTTGTTTTACACTGTCTTCCCTCTTCATATGTCTGTGTCTGAATTTCCTTTTAGAGATCATACTGAATTAGGCCATACCGATGACCTCATTTTAACTTAGTTACCCTCTGTGAAGACCCTGTCTCCCAGTTTCTAGGCCTCTCTCCTTGGCCTATGGATGGTCGTGATCTCCCTGGTTTTACACTGTCTTCCCTTTTCATATGTCTGTGTCTGAATTTCCTCTTAGAGATCATACTGAATTAGGCCATACAGATGACCTCATTTTAACTTAGTTATCTCTGTGAAGACCCTGTCTCCCAATACAGTCACATTCTAAGGTGCTGGTGGTTAGGACTTCACCATATAAATTTGGGGTGGGGACACACACAGTTCAGCCCATAACAGTCCACTTTTCTCTTTCTCAGATGCTACATGCTCTTTCCCAATTTAGGACTTTTCATAAGCTGTCCTATGATCGTCCACAATGGTATCCACAGGCACACTTATAATGGTTGTGGATTAACTACTCTCCCACAGCCTCACCATTAGGTGGTCACAAAAGCCAGTCTCAGACCAAAATCTGCCACAAATGAAGACTTGTTAAATGAGCATTCATTAACAGCCTCCACCCATGATCCAGGCCGAGCAGCTCAGTTGATTAGAACATCATTCCAAAACACCACGGTTGCGGGTTTGATCCCCAGTCAGGGCACATACAAGAATCAACCAATGAATGCATAAATAAGTGGAACAACAAAAATTGATGTCTGTCTGTCTCTTCCTCCCTCCCTTCTCTATCTGTAAAAAGAATCAACCATTAAATAAAAATCAACCATTAAAAATCAACCATAAAAATAAGCATTCATTGACAGGCAAGCACAAGACAGTCCATGCAGCCTGTTCTGGAAGCTGATAAAGTCCTAGCTCTCTGCCCATGTGGATACAATGGCTACTCCCTAAATGAAAGGTTCCCTGGAGAAAGGCAGGAGAACATTCTAGATCCTGCGTCTCAAACTTCACCAGGCATCAGGATCTCTGGGTGGGTTTGTTATTCTTTCTGAAATTGGCATCAGGCAGCCAGCAATTTGCTAACCAATGGCTTGACAAGGACATTTAGAGAATTAGTCTAGAACAGGGGTGGGCAAACTTTTTGACTCGAGGGCCACAATGGGTTCTTAAACTGGACCAGAGGGCCGGAACAAAAGCATGGATGGAGTGTGTGTGTGAATTAATATAAATTCAAAGTAAACATCATTACATAAAAGGGTACGGTCTTTTTTTTCAATAGTTTTATTCATTTCAAATGGGCCGGATCCGGCCCGCGGGCCGTAGTTTGCCCACGGCTGCTCTAGATTCTCGTACCTAACAGGCATAGGGGCAGAGAATGTCTCTAAAAGGTTTTAGAAAATACCATTCATGTCATCAATGAAAAGCCATTTCTCAAGGTCATTATGCTCATTAGTAAAGCCATGGCACTGCTCAAGCTCTGGGTAAGTGAAGCGCACAGGGATAGCTGAGTGTGGCCTCACCGATGCAATGATAGCTGACTACCCATCATGGGAATTCCTGGATAGGGCACACATGCCTGATATCACTGGTCCAAGCTGGACAGTTTAGAGCACGTTACTGGCAGCATTAATGGAAAGGAAAGTGAACTAACAAATCTGTGGGCATTTGTTTGATCCCACAGACTGAGCCTGAAATCATAGAGGAAACCAACATTGACAGAGTTAACGAGCCGCGGGGCTACACCAGGTCGCGGCAGGTGAAGGGCCACTCTGAGACGTCCACGCTGAGCTCCCAACCCTCCATCGACGAGGTCCGGCAGCAGATGCACATGCTGCTGGAGGAGGCCTTCAGCTTAGCATCCGCGGGCCACGCGGGCCAAAGCCGGCACCAGGAGGCCTACGGCTCAACACAGCACCTGCCCTACTCGGAGGTGGTGACCAGCGCCCCGGGGACCATGACGCGGCCCAGAGCTGGGGTGCAGTGGGTGCCGACCTACCGCCCAGAAATGTACCAGTACAGTCTGCCCCGGCCGGTAAGTCAGACATCCTGCCCACTGGCTATTATCAGGTCAGTCCTGCCCCGGGTGTTCCAACGGGGGTCTCCAACGGGGGGTGTCTAGTGATAAGTCACCTTGGATTTTGGAGATGGGACTTTGCTGGGCTTTCATCCTGTCCTCCACCCATGGTCCAGGCCTAAGCCTTTGAGTCCTCCGGACATACCCGCCCTTATATCCAACTGTAATACACTTCGGAAAGAACTTCCTTTGCTATTGTCCCACCTGTGAAGGGCTGACCTCATTCTTGTGCACTGATGGTTTCCTACATTTCCAAGCGTGAGGACCCATTTTCAATGTCAAACACATCGCAGAACTGCATGTTAGGGGTCCGTGTAACGTGGTGAGTCAGAGCAGACGCTCTGGAGGACCTCATTCTTGTGCACTGATGGTTTCCTACATTTTCAAGCGTGAGGACCCATTTTCAATGTCCAAACGCATCGCAGAGCTGCATATTAGGGGTCCGTGTAGACTGGTGAGTCAGAGCAGACGCTCTGGAGGCAGGGGGCTGGCCTCTGAATCCCAGCTCTACCACTCACTGGCTTTGTCACTTGGGGATGTCACTTAAGTTCTCTACAGATGAAATCAGCAAATGAAAATAACCTACTTCCTAGGGTTATTGTGAAGAGTAAACCAGTTGATATATACCAGATACTAGAAGAATGCAGGCATACAGAAAATGCTATAGAAGTGTCAGTCATATTTATTTCATTATTTGGTAACTGCACATCAGTAGCTGAGAAAGCACCCAATGACCAAAGCTTCCGTGAATAAACAACAATTTTAATTAGTGTGCATTGTGTTCATTATCATGGTATCTACACATATCTTAAACATGTCAGCATGTCATTCCTAGCATGTCATTCTCCAGCCTAACCTTCCCCTGTTGATTACTCATTAGCAGGAGAGACCAAAGTTTATTTGAAACTGAACCTCTGAGGCTATGCCTGGGTGAGGTCATCATCATGGCCGGTACAGAATTTCTGTTTTGTCCATTCGCTCCAGCGTGGTCAGATTCGGGGACTCTGACTCATGCTGATTAAGCTCAGAACAATTATTAATTCACAAACCTGCAAGGAGAAGCCGGATGGGCCAGAATACGTGTTTGCTGGTCCACAGGGTCTTTTCATTAGAAAAAGCCAAGTTGGGCAAAGTGAGACATTCTCAGAAGAACTGGTAGGTGTCAAAGTCATCCTTCTTAGTCTGCAATATGCAAATCCAGAGAGAACAGTCAATAAAGGAAACAGGGTGAACATGGGGCATCTTTTTTGCATCCCATTTTCTGAGAGAAGGGTGGAGTAATGCAAAATTTCTTATGTATTTTTTAAGCTAAAACAGGGCTTTAGGGCCATGTCCAGCTCTCAGGAATACGACTTCGTCTCTGCTGTCAGGGAACCTTGCTGGCTACGGTCAAGAAGCGCTGCCTTCCAGAAGGGCGACACAACTCTGGGGCCACCACTGGCCCAGCTCCCATCGTCTACAGTCCCAATCCTTTTTTCAGAAAATTTAAAAAATTACCACTCAACCTTACAAACCTATCACCTTGATATATTTTCCCATGGTAGTCATATTACAGTTTTCTACTAATTGAGCATTAAATTAGTACCCACTTTTATGGGGTAAGAACGAACCTCACTGAGATTTAGAAAACACTAATCTTATCACACACAGGGTGGGGGTGAGTAGGCTTAAGGTTGTGAGTACTCAAAACACTCAATTCTTGTGTTATTATTTATTCATGATAGTGTTACTTTTCATACAAACAACTATACACTTACTTTTGCCCCACCCTGTATATACTACCTCTTAAGTGTCTGTCCCCTGAGAAAAGTTACCTGTACCCATCCTATAGTGATTCACACTGACTTCGGTTTCATTGGTTCATCCCTCCTGAGCTCCCTGTCCCAGGATCTCCCCCCGCCCCCCCAGTCCGGAGTAGAATGGCACTCTCCAGGCGAATGACCTTAGCCAGTGACCACAACTCTGAGCCTCAGACTCCTCAGTCATGAAGTGGTGAGGACAAGAGGGCTGCAGGGAGGATGAAATCCAGGTACCGTGCTTAGCACACAGTCCCGGCACCTAGTCAGCATCCAGTAGTCGTTTGCCGATATTAATTAAAGTGCTTTACACGGTTCCTAGCACATTGAATTACTCGATAAATGCTAGTCATTAATATAAAAAATATCCTCTCCTTTGCAGCGGGTCCTACTAGTTATATATCCCTTTCCCCCGACAGTTCTGAGATGACGTCTTCTCCTCCTGTTCTGTGAAATTCCTTTCAGCGCGTGCTCTGGGTGCCCCAACTCAGAGCTCCAGAGAAGCTGCACTTATGTCTCAAAATGATTCTCAAGAACAGCGGGACCCCTTTGGCTGGAGGCCAGATTCTGGGAGTCCATGCAGAGATCTGGGTTTCAGAGAGAAAAGCTTAATCAACAGGATGAGCCTTAAAACAAATGGCGGCCAAGAAGGTGCCACAAACCACATCCGTCACGCTCGATTTAACAAAATCTTCTAAAAATTTCATGGTGGGACATATCTGAAGCCCAGCTCTACCACTCACTGGCTTTGTCACTTGGGGATGTCACTTAAGTTCTCTACAGATGAAATCAGCAAATGAAAATAACCTACTTCCTAGGGTTATTGTGAAGAGTAAACCAGTTGATATATACCAGATACTAGAAGAATGCAGGCATACAGAAAATGCTATAGAAGTGTCAGTCATATTTATTTCATTATTTGGTAACTGCACATCAGTAGCTGAGAAAGCACCCAATGACCAAAGCTTCCGTGAATAAACAACAATTTTAATTAGTGTGCATTGTGTTCATTATCATGGTATCTACACATATCTTTTTATTTTAAAAAAAAGACTTAGTTTTATAAGCCATACACCATAATAGACAATGCCTTGTACATGTATAGATTCCACCTTTGTAATATTTCATGGCCTATCCCCAAGGATTACTCATTAATAGAGTTTTATAAATCGTCATAGTGACATGTAATTACATAATAAAAGCTAACATTTGTTGTGTTTCACTGTTGCGAGGTCCTGATCTAGGTGTCATGTGTGTGTTAGCACATTTTTTTCGTTCTTACTACAAGCCTCTCACACAGGTACTAGTTTTATCCCTATTTCACAGATGAAGAAACTGAGATTACAGTTTGTTCAAGTCACACAGCCGGAAAGGGGCAGAGCCAGGGCCCAAGACCAGGCAGTATGGCGCCAGAGCCCATATTCTTCACCAGCGTGTTTTTCTGCCTCGTGCTGCGTTACATTGCCATTCATATCATTTCTCTCATTTTCTGTAGGCTGTGGGCTTGTAGAGCCTTGTGAAAACATCAAACATGTCAGCATGTCATTCCTAGCATGTCATTCTCCAGCCTAACCTTCCCCTGTTGATTACTCATTAGCAGGAGAGCCCAAAGTTTATTTGAAACTGAACCTCTGAGGCTATGCCTGGGTGAGGTCATCATCATGGCCGGTACAGAATTTCTGTTTTGTCCATTCGCTCCAGCGTGGTCAGATTCGGGGACTCTGACTCATGCTGATTAAGCTCAGAACAATTATTAATTCACAAACCTGCAAGGAGAAGCCAGATGGGCCAGAATACGTGTTTGCTGGTCTACAGGGCCTTTTCATTAGAAAAAGCCAAGTTGGGCAAAGTGAGACTTTATCAGAAGAACTGGTAGGTGTCAAAGTCATCCTTCTTAGTCCGCAATATGCAAATCCAGAGAGAACAGTCAATAAAGGAAACAGGGTGAACATGGGGCATCTTTTTTGCATCCCATTTTCTGAGAGAAGGGTGGAGTAATGCAAAATTTCTTATGTATTTTTTAAGCTAAAACAGGGCTTTAGGGCCATGTCCAGCTCTCAGGAATACGACTTCGTCTCTGCTGTCAGGGAACCTTGCTGGCTACGGTCAAGAAGCGCTGCCTTCCGGAAGGGCGACACAACTCTGGGGCCACCACTGGCCCAGCTCCCATCGTCTACAGTCCCAATCCTTTTTTCAGAAAATTTAAAAAATTACCACTCAACCTTACAAACCTATCACCTTGATATATTTTCCCATGGTAGTCATATTACAGTTTTCTACTAATTGAGCATTAAATTAGTACCCACTTTTAGGGTAAGAACGAATGAACCTCCTCACTGAGATTTAGAAAACACTAATCTTATCACACACGGGGTAGGGGTGAGTAGGCTTAAGGTTGTAAGTACTCAAAACACTCAATTCTTGTGTTATTATTTATTCATGATAGTGTTACTTTTCATACAAACACATATACACTTACTTTTCTTTTGCCCCACCCTGTATATACTACCTCTTAAGTGTCTGTCCCCTGAGAAAAGTTACCTGTACCCATCCTATAGTGATTCACACTGACTTCGGTTTCATTGGTTCATCCCTCCTGAGCTCCCTGTCCCAGGATCTCCCCCCGCCCCCCCAGTCCGGAGTAGAATGGCACTCTCCAGGCGAATGACCTTAGCCAGTGACCACAACTCTGAGCCTCAGACTCCTCAGTCATGAAGTGGTGAGGACAAGAGGGCTGCAGGGAGGATGAAATCCAGGTACCGTGCTTAGCACACAGTCCCGGCACCTAGTCAGCATCCAGTAGTCGTTTGCCGATATTAATTAAAGTGCTTTACACGGTTCCTAGCACATTGAATTACTCGATAAATGCTAGTCATTAATATAAAAAATATCCTCTCCTTTGCAGCGGGTCCTACTAGTTATATATCCCTTTCCCCCGACAGTTCTGAGATGACGTCTTCTCCTCCTGTTCTGTGAAATTCCTTTCAGCGCGTGCTCTGGGTGCCCCAACTCAGAGCTCCAGAGAAGCTGCACTTATGTCTCAAAATGATTCTCAAGAACAGCGGGACCCCTTTGGCTGGAGGCCAGATTCTGGGAGTCCATGCAGAGATCTGGGTTTCAGAGAGAAAAGCTTAATCAACAGGATGAGCCTTAAAACAAATGGCGGCCAAGAAGGTGCCACAAACCACATCCGTCACGCTCGATTTAACAAAATCTTCTAAAAATTTCATGGTGGGACATATAAACACTTAGATGGTTCCCTTTGTCATAGTATGGGGTTGGCAGTTGGCAAAAACATCAGCATGATATACTTTAAAAATGACAACACTAAAAAAAAAAAAAAAAATGGAAAAGCCTTGAGAAATAACACAACAGAGAGGGAGGCCATCCAACCCATAGGATATCAAAGGCAGTTCTTTTGTTATTAAGGTTTTCTTTTTTTTTTTTGCTAACAGCACATGTGGCCCCTATTTTCATGAAAGGAGAAAATAGCCTACGATGCACAATAGCCGACAAGTCAAAATGATGGTTCTTAACCCAAGTTCTGTGGAGCCCCCTTGCGCTATGATAATGAGGAAATCAATAGGAAAGATGGCAATTTAGAAGGATAACGGTGATTACTTTTCAGCTTCCCCAAAGCAAGGGCTCTGTGCTCTGCCGGAGGGTAATTGGAGGCTGGTGGTTTTAAATGCACAGGGCCACGCTGATGGCATTTATATCGTGGGAAAGGTGACTGCTGGCTGCGAGGGATTTCTTTCTGCCCTGCGTTCTAGGAGACTCTTGACCATATTTTACCCCTTAAGTCTCTGAAGAAATTGGATTTGACACCTAATGACCAATCGAATTTGGCTACCAGCTGTAATGGGTCTGTGCCCAAGGGAGTAAGAGCATCCCTCAGCCTTCCTTGGGGGTCTGAGAAGGGGTTTCCATGAAAGGTAGCAGGTGAAGGCATCTCCCTCTACAATTACTAGAGGCTTTACAGATAGAACTGACGATAATAATAATGATTAATAATAATGATAATAATAATAATAGCAGTTGCCATCTATTGAGCTCCCTGTGTACCTGACACTGAGCTAAATGCTGTGTCGACATTATTATCATCGAACAACCACCCTATGAGGTCAGCAGTATTACTCAATGAAGAAACTTAGGCTTGGAGAAGTAAAGAAACTGGTCAAGGTTACACAGCTATAAAGGGAAGAACTGGGGTTAGGACCTCGAGCTGGCTAACTTCAAGGCCCACTCTCTTTCCACCCTGTGGCCAGGCCAGTCATAGGGCAGACTTGGAGGAGACTGTGCCCCTTCTTTCCCTCTACTTTACAACCAAGCTTCCGGTCCCAGGGTGTCTGACTCTAGTCATACCCTTTGTAAATAGGTCTTTAAGACCTATTTACAAAGGCTGCCTTGAGTCCTGGATCTCTGAGCTCCTTCCTAGGAGAGGGCAGAGATTCCAAGAAACGGTGTCCTTGGTCACCAAGCTGGGCAACCTGTGTCAACATCATGAAACTGGGAACCAGGCAACAGTTTTGAGCAGTAGCTTCCAATGGGATCCAGTCACGAAGCAGCCAGCAGGGAGCCAGGTTCCAAATACATGAGACGGGAAGCCAGTATGAGAGCCTGGAGAACTTTGAACCACGGAGGACTTGCACAGAGGGGATGTAGGAAGACGCTATGTGGGACTCAGGACCCAGGACCCAGGGTGCCTGTTTGAGGCCCTGAGGATACAGCCCAAAGGGGGCTCTGATCTCTTCTACGGTCTTGCTGTGTACCTGGGTACTTTTTTCCAAAGCAGGGAATTCCCTTAGTACTTGTCCAAAGTTCAGAACTTTTCATCAATTCTCCTGGTGAACTGGTACAGGACAGCCATGGACATAGAAGGCTTTTTCCTGGCTGGAAACTGTATTGACTAGAGAACAAGCCTTCCAAGAACCAGGGACAAAAATAGGTTGCCTGTCTCCTCTGCTGGCTGTGAAAGGCCAGAAAAGAGAAGAGGCACTTATCAACCCCTTTCGCTCTTTTGGGAAAGGTATGTCCTTACTTGCTGGTTTATTGATAATAATGGATTGCGAAGAGGGAAGGACATCCAGGACAATGATTTTCAAATTCTCAGCAAAACTTAAGGGTTCAGGGAAGTCCCCACGCTGTCTATCTTGCAGGTAAGCGAAGAGCCAAATTCACCAGGGTACCCCCCCTCCCCCGCCCGCCCCGACACACACACACACACACCTCAGCAAACTAAAATAGAACTATGGGCTGAAACCAGAGCTGGAAATAGTGAGGAGTAAGCAAAAACGAAAGGTGGAGTGGAGTCCTTGAGATTCCTCTTACATCTTGCAATTGCCGCTGTGCTTAAAAGGTATGTTTTATCCAGGATCAGGTTGTTGTTTAGTGGGTTGGCCCTAATGAGTATGCAATCTGCCATAATGCTGAAGGGAGGAGACTCATTCAGTTTAAAGATTCCCTCTACTGCTGCCTTTGGTCCTGATGCCTTCAATTTAACCTTGTCATCTGGTCATCGAGAGATCTGGCAGGCCATGGTACCTAAGGAAAAAGATGAATGAGAAGCACAAGTTAAGCTCTGTCTCCCCAGAGAGCATTTCTAGATTTGCTCTTGCTAAGAAGGCTGTGGCCTGGCTCTCTGATCCTGTCACAGACGTTGTCCTCTTATTCCCTCAAGTGTTGATTAAAGTCTTCACTTTGGTGACAGTTCCAGTCATTGATCTTTGAATAGTGCTTTATAGACTGCAAAATACTTCACACATACACTCAGTTGCCTGTTTTTTGCAGTACCCCTCTGAGCAAGGCGTCTTTTCTCCATTCCAAAAGAGGACACTGAGGCCCAGAGAGACCACCTGTCTTGCATAGGGACATAAAGTCTATTCATCGGCAAACTAGGTCCTCCACCCATACCTCCTGATGCCAAGCCCATTGCTTTCCCCCATTAAACCTCATTTCCATGAGTGAGAAAGTAAAATGCAGTCACTGGCTCGTTCATCTAATATTTATGGATTGTCTTTGATATACCAGGCATTGTTCCAGGCTCAAGGAGCTAGCTGGCAACGAAGTCCCTGCCCTCATTACACTCTAGGTTGGTGGCAGATAATAAATCAACAGGCAACATTAAAAGCACTCCAGGGAGAAGGAGCAACATGTACAAAAGCCCAGGCGGGAAAGAACTGGGAGTATTCAATTGCCAAGAGCACCTTTGCAAAGAACTTTGAAGGACTCTGTGACCACAGTGGCCTAAGAAAAGGGGACAGTGATAGGAGATGAGATAGAAGAGAGGGCTAGGGAACATCGTAAGGAATATCTTAAGGGGGGAGTTTGAGGAAGGAAGAAAAGCCTGCCCCTCTGAAATTTGCTTCCATTTTAAAAAGAATCTGTGTGTTGGTTGGCCCTGGGTTTTAACAGATCTCCCTCTTTTGCTTGTTTCTTTCACAGGCCTACAGGTTCTCCCAGCTTCCTGAAATGGTCATGGGCTCTCCCCCTCCGCCTGTACCTCCAAGGACTGGCCCCGTGGCGGTCGCTTCTCTCAGGCGGTAATGCTTTCCTGTGTTTGCTTTGTTTAGAATATTTGAGAAGGAGTTATACCTGTGTACCCTGACCTGACAGATTTCCTTCATGCCGTGCCCCATTCTGGTGCATCACCCATACAGACAGCCATGTGCCTAGGGCACCTGAGTACCATGAAGGATGTGGGGGGCCATAAAGGGCTAACCGACTTTCCTGTCATTGTAAATAGAAAGTCCTGCAGAACCCACAATTGAAGAAACCCAGTGTCATTGCCCCATGCCCCGAAAGCTCCGTCTCTGATCTCGAACATGTAAAAATTACCCCAGCTGGGGCCACCACAGCAGCTGTCTCATGTCTGGTTGCCTCCTGCTATGTGTGCACAACCAAAAGCCCCTTTGTTATTAGGGGTGGTGTCCCAGAGGCCAGGGAGCAGCGTGTCTAAGTGCTCACCCCAACTTGTGACTTCCAAGAGGGAGAGGCTGAAAGCACATGAACTCAGATATGTCCACTGCAAAGCATATTCGCTTTGCTCTGTGATATAAAAAGCACATGTTTTTGTTGTTGTTGTTGTTTCTCTATCCTTCCTCGAGGATATTTTTTCCATTGATTTTTAGAGAGAGTGGAAGGGAGGGGGAGAGAGAAAGAGAGAGAAACATTGATGAGAGCGAGACACATCAATTGGTTGCCTCCTGCACACCCTGACCAGAGCCGGGAATTGAACTTGCAACTCACGTACATGTCCCTGATTGGGAATCAAACCCCCCTTCAGTCTGTGGATTGACACTCCAACCACTAATCCAAACCAGCCAGGGCAGCACCCGTTTTTAATAAAGACAGACAAGAAACACAAAGGCCGTGAGCACCGGGAGAGGTAGAAATACTCACCATGTCCAGGGCTGTGAGGAACAGCTGGTCCCAGGAGTATGTACGGGCCACTGCCCTGGCCTTCTGACCCTAGCCTCTCCCAGCACACCAGTCACACCCTATCTGTGGACCACAGGTTTGAATTTTGTGAAAACGGTAAAGAAAAATGGCTTTCCCTCAGAAGCAACCCTGCCCTCAATTCCAGAGTTTAAGAATCTCCACTGTGTGTAGACCCCACCACTCCTTGGCCCCAGCCGAGCTCAGGGTCGAGCTCAGGGTCGGGTAAGAAGCAGCAGACCAGGGTTCCATCTGACTTGCCAGTAACCTGCTGTGTAACTCCAGGCAAACTGCTTCACCCCTCTGGTCCCTGGTTCCTTACCTGTAAAATGCGAGCAATACCCTAACTGTTCTCAGAGGCTCTGGGATTCCTCAAAGGGGACCAAGTGTATGGTGCAGGCACTCTCCTGGGAAGGGTTTTCTGAAGGAGTCTCAGATGCTGGGAACAGTATGAGGGAAGCCAGGGCTGGGGAGTGAACAGGCCAGAGAAGGAGGGAGGGATTGAGAAAGAAAGGAAGACCCACTTCACACTGCTGAGCCTCCAGCAGCCACCCTCCCTCAGTTACTCCCCAGGGTTCTGGCTGGGCGGAGCGGCACATCCACCCTTTGTGGTACCTTTGCCAAAGTCCAGCATCTATTTCATCTCTTCTGTCAACCAGCAGTCTCCTCCTATGTCCTTCCGAACTGTCTGCCATCCTTGCCAAACAGGAGGTCACGCCCACTCTACAAGCCCAAAGGTTTTGATCTCTGCTTAGAGGGTGGCCTGAGGGCTGGTGGCCTGAGGGCTGGCGGCCTGCCACCTGCTGTGGCTGCCTTTGCCTGCCTGCCATGTTAATTGTAGGGCAGCCTGGCATCTCTATGGCTAACGCACCCTATAACAATGGGAGAGGCTAACCCTTATAACAATGGGAGAGGCCACGGAGCCCAGGCTGCCCTCTCGGCTTTCTGAGCACTTGGTGGAAATATGATGTGTGAAATGGGCCAGATTCTCTGCCTGCCTGGCACAGAAAAAAATGTGTTCCTATTCATAATGCCCAGGAAGTGCCCGAGTGCTCGGCTCCTGTGCCTGGGGCCTCCCAGAGCCTTGGGCATCTTGTTCCTGCCAGTTACTAGTCCTCAGGGCCTCTGAATCACCCATCCTGGTGTCAGGAGGGGGGAGCACCCTCGCACTTCAGATGGAGCCTTCTCATTGGCTGTCGATGATGTCATCACCTCCCAGGTTGACCATCCCCAGCTAATACTCAGCGCTAATTGCTTGGCTTAATTTTATATAGAAATTAAGCACTGAACTCCCCAGAGACACAAGTGCCACCCTCAAGGGGGTAATGACCTTGAATATCTAATAATGTCTCCAGTGCCTGGCCAGCATGGCTCAGTGGTTGAGCCTTCGACCTAGGAACCAGGTGGTCATGGTTTGATTTCCAGTCGGGGCACATGCTTAAGTTGTGGGCTCAATCCCCAGTGTCAGGTATGCAGGAGGCAGTGGATCAATGATTCTCTCTCATCATTGATGTTTCTTTCTCTCCCTCTCCCTTCTACTCTGAAATCAATAAAAATATATTTAAAGTAAAAATAAAAATGTCTCCAGGTTGGGCCACCACGATGACTGTTACCGGTCTGGGCGTGTTGGCTCCCTTTGTTATTTGGGGTTCCCCAAGGTGACTGCCCAGCCAGCCATGGTCCAGAAGTGGCTCACGTAGCCCCTCTGCCCACCCAGGTCCACCTCCGACGTTGGCAGCAAGACCAGGATGGCCGAGTCCACTGGGCCCGAGCCGGCCCATCTGCACGACAGCGCCTCCTTTACGCAGGTGTCCAGAGGCCCCGTGTCCATGGCGCAGTTGGATCAGTCAGCTTTAAATTACTCAGGTGGGCAAGAGAAGAAAAGCCTGCATCGGACCCTGGTCCCAGCCTCACCCCCCTCCACCCCGACATCCACACTCCACCTTCTACCTGCTGCCCTCAGGAATCCAAGAGCCACTCCTTTTATTTTTCAAAAACATCTGAAACCTGACAAAATATTAAGATATGCTTCGGTCAGGGTATATGTTAACATTTTGCCAGATTTCAGGTTTTTAAAAATGATTTATTTTTAAAAGCATTACAGATACAACGATCCATCTCCATCTAAATTCCCTTCTCCACAGAGGTAATCATAGTCTTAAATCCTGGGTATTAACCTTTTGCTACATATGTATGTATATAACAGTATAGATCAGCAGTTTTTTTTTTCATCTCATGGCGCACATAAACTAATGACTAAAATTTTGCAGCACACCAAAAAAACGTATTTTTGCTGATTTTGATTCATTAGCACCGGACAGCTATTTTTGTGTTGGCTGTCGTCATTTCTTAATTTGACCATCTAAGGGAAAAGAGGTCAGTGCTCCTGACTAAATAGTCAGGTATTGCATGTTTTAAGCATTCTTATAGCACACCCGTGTGTTGCAACACACCGGTTGAAAAATGGCTGGCATATATGAACGCTTTATCTATTTTACATCTACACCAGCGCCATCAAGCTATACATTTCCTTTTGCACTTTGTTCACTTGGTTCAGCATAGTGTGTAAGACTTCTCCGGGTTGCTGGAGACACATAGATCTAGTTCATTCCTTTAAACTGCCATGTGATCTGCTCTTATAGGATCTACCACAGTTGATCCTTTCCCCTAGTGAGGGACATATTGGTTGTGTCCAGTTTTTTACTATTACCAACAACGTTGAAATGAACGTGGCGGTCTATACATGCCCTGATTGGTGTTTTGTTTATTCAAACCTTACCTTTTAGGCTAAACCTGCAAGCACCCAGTCATCAACGCTTATTAAAGCATTCACTGTGCCCAGACATGTCACCGGTGGAATCCATGGCTTTTGGTTTCTTTTCTTGGCTCTTTAAAACTACCCTTCCTCCTGGGAGGGTGACACCTGGACACTGAGGTGCCCTTTCCTTTGTCAGCAGGCTGAGGTGTTGGGCTGGGGGTGGGGGAGCTGGTGAGGGCTCAGCCAGGGGAGTTGAGTGATCGTTTCTCTAGAAAGACAGGCTGAGTCGGCAGATCAGGCCTTTCACACTGACTGGGCAGTGAACCAGGCTGAGGCTACAGGTGGAGGTCTGCTGCTCCCCGATTACCAACTCCCCCAATACCAGACCTGTCTTCCTCCCGCTCCCCCTCACCCCCGCCCCGTTTCCCAGCTTCCTCAGCTTGTGCAAATGTCAGCTGAGTGGGTGGGGTGCTGGCCTAATCTCTCCCATCCATCTCCTCCATGCCAGGCAATACGGTGCCCGCAGTGTTCGCCATCCCAGCTGCCAACAGACCGGGCTTCACCGGCTACTTCATCCCGACGCCCCCCTCGTCCTACAGGAGCCAGGCCTGGATGTCCTATGCAGGAGAGAACGAGCTCCCGAGCCAGTGGGCCGATTCGGTGAGACCCTTGCTGATTCCCCACAATGTTACCTGCTTGACACACTTCAGGGAGAAAAGGGGTGACAGGTTGAGACGAGTGTGTTGTTATCTCACTCCTCCTCCCACCAGCCAGATGGCTAAAGTCAGCCGTTTAAAGGAGACGTGGGAAGATGGCTTGTCCTTTGACAGAGGAACTTGAGACCTGCCAGGTTCTACATCTTCCTGAATCAAAGAAATGTGTATAATGGCTGCCATTTGGGAGATATTTCCCATGTGCTAGATACCATAGGAGATATTTTATTTATATGATCTTATTTAATCTTCATAGCCATCCTATCCGGCTGAGGTTATTAGTCCTATGATGCGTCCCATTTTGCGGATGAGGAAAACTGAGGCCTAATCTAAAGCTATACAACTTTTGTAAGGTGCTGAGGCCAGGATTCAAACCTGCTTCTGTCTGGCTCAAAAGTGTTTTTAAAGATGTTCCTTTTAGCTTTAAAATTCTGTGAAAATTTTTACATGAAATACCAGAAAATGAAGTAGTAGGAACTCAAGACTGAATTACTTTGCATGTACCTCCTCGAGCTTCCTGCGTGACTTTCAGCCAAGGACCGTCTTGTCATCCTCCACTGGTTTCTCCCATCGTTACAACTAGGAGTTTATGGCACAGATCTTCACACCCAAACCTGCCTCTGAGCCACCTGTCAAGGGCTGCTAAGTGGAAAACACAAAAAAACCCAAGGGGGGAAAAAACCCACACATGGATGGCCCTTAGAGTGGGGAGCCCCCTTTGTGTGAGTCCATCCAACATGGATAAGAAAGATTGTCTCAATTTAAATTAAAAAGAAAGAAAGAAAGACTGGCTCTCTGGGCTGGCCCTGAGGGCACCCAGTTCTGTATGCCACGTTAGGGTTTGGTCTCAGCATTCTAGAGTTAGGAGACATGTTGACACCCAAGGCCTGGGTCACTCCTGGGTCCATACTTGCCACCCCTACAGGTTCAACTCAACCTCAGAGTTAGTGTCTGTTCTTATTGTAGCGACGTCTCATCTAAGGGACATCATCAGGGGTGAAGTCATTCTGCATATATTAATTTTCCTGGTGATCAGAGCTTACCCCTTGAATTTCTAAAATGTTTTAAAATATATGCCATCTTGTACTTTTAAAATTCTGGAATGAATTTTATCCTTCCGCCTTCTTCTTTAAAAGAGGAGCATGATTGAATTTGTCTTTAGCCAATGATTCAGCATCATTATTATGCCTCACTATCCTAAAATGACCTCTGTAAGATGGTCCCTGGTGGCTTGTAGGGTTATTTCCCCCATCAAATACCTCCAAAATACTGTAAATTTTGGATTATAACATTTCTGTTTGCTGGATTCTGCTTATATTAAAAAGGTAGCCATGTAGATTCGTATGAAGACACAGGTATGTTCCCACCAGCGTATCCAGTGAGAATATTCAAATGACCTACTTTCTAACCAGTCTGATCCAGGTTTTGTATCTGTACAGTGGTATGTGGCCTCCGTTTTCTTCCGAATCTCTTCCCTTGCCCTCAGTCCCCTCCTGCCTCTAGTGTCAGGTGCATGCTCTGACTTGAGCCCCTTCCTAATCCCAGGCCCCTCCCCTGTCTCCCAACATCCTCTGCAGGTCCCTCTCCCAGGGTACATCGAGGCTTACCCCCGGTCCCGTTACCAGCAGAACTCCCCCTCCAGGCTCCCTCGGCAGTACAGCCAGCCAGCCGGCATGCACCCCAGCTTGGAGCAGGGCCCTGTGCCCTCCACGGCGGCCTCCCAGCAGAGCCTTGCGGAGAACGACCCTCCCGACACTCCCCTGACCAACATCTCCACGGCGGCCCTGGTGAAAGCCATCCGGGAAGAGGTGGCCAAGCTGGCCAAGAAGCAGACGGACATGTTCGAGTTCCAGGTCTAAGGCCTTAGCCCCGGGGGCTTCCAGACTCTGAGGAAACAGTCTTCGGGCTCCTCAAGCCTAATGCGTTGGGACTTGAGGCATAGACAGTGGGTGAGTCTTCCTCAGCCTTCGTTTCTGAAAAGGTGAACCATGGGGCTTCTGGGAAACAGAGGACACTCTTGAACGCCTGGATTCTCGGCCTATTCAACTGATTGTATGTCAAGAAGTCCCTGCTTGGGACCGTGTGCTTGCTGTTCTGTTGTATTTAAACTGCCGGTGTATTTTCCTACGGAGCCTTAGTCGGGAGAGACACTAACTAATCCGCAGATTCCTGTCCAATGCCACACTTCAACAAGTCGCCAGAAGGTGGAGGACACAGCTCTATCTTTGGTGACTCCTGCATGTTAACTGTTTCTGTGTTAAAGGCAATGCAGGCGTGTGATTGCGCACCAGGCCGTACTCTCTCTCATTCAGCCATGACTGTACTCGTTAAGATCACCTCCAGTCTGGAAGGGAGGCACTGACTCCAGGCAAGAAACCTGAGTCCTTTTCTTTCGGAGATTCCTATTCAAGGTCAGGTGCATCGGATGAAAACCAGTGCTGTCAATGACGGTACCGCTCCCCCACCCCCCATTAAGCAGAAGCCAAGAAAGAGAGAAGATGAGAGGGAATGGTTGGTGTGTGTTGACAGATTTTTGAAAAGGTGTTGTTTTCTTGGAACCGGAGCACCCTGTGAGCTGGGACCCGGCTGAAAGACCAGCAGTGCTAAGAGCTTTGAGGGTCCTACAAAAGAAAAGCAGTTACTGGTGGAGCTTTTTCTTTGCCCTGCGATGAAGGTGGCCTGAGAATGAAGCTTCTCTCTCTATTGGGATAAGAGGTACATCATTGATTTTATGAGAAACATCTCTGTCTTTTCAACAGTGACATCCAGCCTGGGCTGCCGAGTGACACAAAAGGAGCTAGTAATTGATGCCTGCTAGAAGCAGGAAGCGTGGGTCCAGTCTCCCCAGCCTGCAGCCCCTGTTTATCGAAGCTTCTGAATGTAGAAAATCGGTTGATTTACGTTTAAATGTAAATAACATTTTAAAAAGTGTTTAGAGGTAGCCAGTCCCCTCCTTCCCCCACCCCCTGTGGTTAATGGACACCGGAGGACATTCGCTGAAATGGCCAGGCTGCTGACCTTGTGAGGGTGATGTTGTGAATCACCTGCCCTGCCAGGGCGAGTCGGCCTCCAGAGCTCTGGGTGGGCAGCGCCTCCCAGCCCCGAGTCACCTGCTGCACAGTCAGCGCGAAGCCGAACAGCTGCTGACCTCACTCAGGTGGCCTCGGGGAGAAAACGCAGGTCCCCTCACCACACTGAGGGCCCACTTGGTGTCTCTTGGAGAACGAGGGCCTGTCCTACCTTCACCCAACACCCATCTCGCTTCAGCTGTCTCCATTCCCTGAGCCCGTCTTTCCATTCTCCTCACGAGTTTCTTTGGTCTTTACTGAGAGAAGGTGGAAATTTCAAAGTGAGAGAAGAGTAGGAGTGGAACTGATTAGAATGAGAGATTCGACTGTCAAAGCACAGACTTTTCACAGAAGCGGTTTTTATTTCCCAATGGCCAGTTGCTCTTTCTGGGATGTTCCGGAGAGGACTTGTCATGGAATTCCCAAACAAGCCTCTTGTTCGGATGATGTTAGGTAGAGTCTTTTGGTATGCTGGTTGATCTTTCATAGTGTTAGCTTTTTGTTACTTAAAAAAAAAATCAGCTATAAATAAAATGTATTTTTGTAATTTCCATGTGTATATATATGGTATATTTCTACCAATGGCTAGTTGTTGTAATCCAAAACCTAAATCAGCTTGGAAAACCCTATGGACAGTATAAGATTTTATCTACAGATGAACACAATGCCTAAGTCTATCTAAATTGGTATTCAATGCACTTGAATGAACAAAGAGCCAAAGAAACTCAGCCTTTTCATGCAAATGGTATGAGTCTGACAGAGTCAGCTACATTGTCCCGCCTTATCAATAATATTAATATTTTCATCAGTGCAATGACATCAGCCCAGTACTTTGTCTGCTTGGTAAATGCCTGGAAATGTTATATGTGGAAATGAAGTTTTAAGACCTTAGTGTAATTAAAATATATGCACATGCTTCAGAGACAGTGTCTGAGCTGTAGATGTGCCAGTAACTTACAGAGAATGAGCCTGCGGCCCCAGCGTGGTGAGAGGCTGAGAA